GTACAGCAAATGATGAGAAAAAGCTTCAAATTTTCACCACAAACTCATAGAAATGAAACTATGGCAGACAAGTGGACTAATAAAGAAAGAAAACATTTGCAGACAAAACAAATGCATTGAAAAAGTGGTCTAAAGTGCAACATAAACTGTTTACAATGATAACTATATTTCTACGAACAGCCACCTCTCAGAGTAAGTTATCCAAGTGCAGTGTTGTAATCACCCATTAGAGAAAATAATGCCCTCAGCAAGAAAGGTTAATTATTATTATTCATAATGGGAGATAAAACTTTAGACGATTCAATCATAACAACACGACTGCAAACAAACCACGGAACAAGTGGGGTTTGAGCCCATGGTGTGCGAGTCCTAAAACTGGGCCAGCTAGCTATGGTAACATTCATCCAACTAGGTGTATTTCTATAAAACACAGGAAGGTTAGCATGAGCCTCACTGTGACCACAAATGCAAGTTTTCACAGATGAATATCTGACCTTGAGTTCAAACCCCACCCGCTGCATGGTTTGTTTACATGACAATGATTATTCAGTCCATCCTGGACTAATATTATTCAGTCCATCCTGGACTAATATTATTTAGTCCATCCTGGACTAATATTATTCAGTCCATCCTGGACTAATATTATTCAGTCCATCCTGGACTAATATTATTCAGTCCATCCTGGACTAATATTATTCAGTCCATCCTGGACTAATATTATTCAGTCCATCCTGGACTAATATTATTCAGTCCATCCTGGACTAATATTATTCAGTCCATCCTGGACTAATATTATTCAGTCCATCCTGGACTAATATTATTCAGTCCATCCTGGACTAATATTATTCAGTCCATCCTAGACTAATATTATTCAGTCCATCCTGGACTAATATTATTCAGTCCATCCTGGACTAATATTATTCAGTCCATCCTGGACTAATATTATTCAGTCCATCCTGGACTAATATTATTCAGTCCATCCTGGACTATATTATTTAGTCCATCCTGGACTAATATTATTCAGTCCATCCTAGACTAATATTATTCAGTCCATCCTGGACTAATATTATTCAGTCCATCCTGGACTAATATTACTCAGTCCATCCTGGACTAATATTATTCAGTCCATCCTGGACTAATATTATTCAGTCCATCCTGGACTAATATTATTTAGTCCATCCTGGACTAATATTATTCAGTCCATCCTAGACTAATATTATTCAGTCCATCCTGGACTAATATTATTCAGTCCATCCTGGACTATTATTATTCAGTCCATCCTGGACTAATATTATTTAGTCCATCCTGGACTAATATTATTCATTCCATCCTGGACTAATATTATTAGTCCATCCTGGACTAATATTATTCAGTCCATCCTGGACTAATATTATTCAGTCCATCCTGGACTAATATTATTTAGTCCATCCTGGACTAATATTATTCAGTCCATCCTGGACTAATATTATTCAGTCCATCCTGGACTAATATTATTTAGTCCATCCTGGACTAATATTATTCAGTCCATCCTGGACTAATATTATTCAGTCCATCCTGGACTAATATTATTTAGTCCATCCTGGACTAGCATCAAGTCGTCTCCTCAACCATTATCAAAATACTGATCAAAGTTTCTTCTTCTTCATTACTAATTAAAAGTATAAACCCACACAATGATGCAGTCAGATGTACAGTGTCTTGAAAAGAAAACTTAATATAAATAATGCAGTGGACGAATAAATTTCTAAAGCTTCCATCTAATCACAAAGTGAATGCTTTTGTCTCCAAAAATGAAAGCACAACAGCAACACTCAAAGCATTTTATCACCGTTCATCCACAGTTGTTCAAATATTATGCAAAGTTCACAACTAACCCAGAAAATGAAGTATTTTCACTTCATCCTGGTTCATTATTAAGATTTTTGGTTCAAGGATGGACAAAAATATTTTGTCATCTCTAATATGAAGATTTACTGCGATCTGTCTCAGTCATGGTATCGTGAATTGTATTTGTTACACTAGGGCTTTGAACCTTGTTCAATATTACAAGAGAGAATATTTTTGTAGAAAGGAAAAAAAAAGCTAGATTCTGACAAAGTGTTGTATAAACCAATGAATGATGCATGAAACACTTGTGCCACATTTGGGTATCTTTATTCTGGAATTGTTTTGCCAGCCAGTGGCTTCCTCAGCCCAAAGCAGAAAAAGGTGGAAGATGAAGAGTGTGAGGTAATCAGTCCCTCAACCTGGAGTTGAGTTCAGTCTATCAATCTTGATAAAAGTGCAGCATATTCATATTGGACTGAATAAGCCACTAGCTGGCAAAATGTTTCATGAATCATGATATCCAAATGCTGGACAAGTGTCTTATTTATCAACTTGTTGGTTTTGTAAAGCATTTATTAGTGTTGCAGGACTCATCACTCCTGTAGCCTGGTCTCATGCCAAGCCTCCTAAATTTGAAAGAAAATATAACTTAAGAACTACATGTATTAAGAAACACAAAGGAAAAATAAGTGTACACTGAATGTAAGTAGAATTTTGTAAGATTTAACTACCTTTTCAAAAGTTCACACAACAGACAGAAAAGTCCAACAATCCTGCCAGAGTGCAGAAAGTTTAAAAAACATCAGTTTCACAATCATATGACAGGACAGTAATAACTCAATGGATACATTTTGTCTACTAATCTACTACAGGTCCACATCCCTCTATCTGAAATTTGAAAAGTTCTGAAAACCGAAGTTTTTTCATGGAGTGTAGAGCATCAGTCATCTCTACATAACTCCAATGCCGCCATGTGGCAGTGTGACCCAGCACTGACAGCCAGAGTGGCAGGCATTAGTTGTGTCTCAGCACTTGTAGTGTTCACACGCGTGTCTGCTGTTCGCTGATATTTTGTGTTTGCTTTTTATTTTGTGACTGTTTAATTTCACTGTGAAAATGTCAGAAAGAGCTGTAGATACCCCTGTAGGTAACAGTGAGAAAAAGAAAAGGAAGCATCTGACATTATCAATAACACAGAAAGTAGAGTTACTGCAGATGCTTGATCGCGGTGTCAGTGCGGCATCTTACTGAAGAATATGGTGTTGGAACTACCACTGTTTATTATTTAAAGAAACAGAGACAAGTTACTGAATTATTATAGTGACAGTGATGACCAAAAACTAATGAAAAACAAGAAAACATAGCATAGGGCAAACAACGAAGATCTTGACTGTGTGTTAATGGAGTGGATTCGACAATGAAGTGAACGTATGCCACTGACTGGTTTGCTGATCATGAAGCAAGTTAGAATATACCATGAAGAGCTGAACAGTGAAGGCGAGTGTCAATATTCAGATGGTTGGCTGCAGAAATTTAAGAAGTGTAATGGTGTAAAATGTCTGAAAATCTATAGTGAAAAAGCTTCTGCTGACCATGAAGCAGCTGAAAATTACATTGATGAATTTACCAAGATAATAAACTTACAAAAACCTTAGTCCTGAACAAATTTAGAATGCTGATGAAACAGCTCTCTACTGGTGCTATGTTTCTAGAAAAACATTAACAACAGCTGATGAGAGAGCACCAGCAGGTTTTAAGGATGCTAAGGACAAGTTAACTATTCTTGGGTGTGCCAATGCTGCAGGCACACACAAGGTGAAGTTGGCAGTGATTGGAAAAAGCAAACCTCCGAGATGTCCGAAAGGTGTACATAATTTACCTGTGCACTATTATGCCAACAAGAAAGCATGAAGATTGCTTAGACAGAAACCTATGTTAATAAGACAGATGACACTTGAAGTCTATAAAAACGCCGTCTGTCAATTGTCTAGAGAATCATATCCCTGGTCTATAATTATTCCATTATTTCATTTATCAATATTTACTCTATAAATAAACCATAGTAGTATTTCTAGTCTTTATTTATCCCACTTAGTGAGAGTATTCATACGTTTTTGCTGGAGAGTTAATGTTCGATTATGGGGTGCTGCCCTAGACCCCACTTTCATTCTGAAATTCAAAAAATTCTGAAATTCGAAACACTACTGGCCCCAAGGGTTTCAGATAAAGTGATGTGGACCTGTACTTGCTATCTACAACAATTTTAACTCTTTCTTGTGATGCCTAATTCCACGTACACTACTTACTATAACATTTAAAAAGAATGGCTGACAAAAATGTTTCAAATGTTGCTGTATAGGCTTGACACTTGAAGGTATAACTAAAGTCAACCCTTAAGAAAGCTGAAGAAAAACTCATACATATGATCAGCCATTATCAAAAAATTCCTGCTAGGAATAATGCATCAGAAACAAAGCATTAACATACTAGATATAAACAATAAAGCAACAGTTTAAATATAAATACAGAGGCTCACAAACTTACAAACACTCCAACTTACACACATCTCCACTACAAATGGGAAACTTAGAAATCAATTAAAATTTTTAAATCTTCTGAGGAGTTTGAATATGAGAACCATAACCATCCTTTGTTTTCTAATAATTTGTATACAAACTGAATAACTAGAAAAGCAACTTGTTTGTAAGTTGAGAGAACTCTTGTATATCTAACACAAACACTCAAATGTAATATTAAATTCTCTTTTCAAAGACACTGATTTCTGAAACAGTCAAGCACCGAACATTCAGATCAATCAGGTTCAGGGACATTCTGAATTTATGATGTATGTGGCCTATCCAACTGTGAAAATCCACAGAATATTTTGAGATATAATTACAGTAGTATAAATAGAAAATCCCATCAATGTCCAAGTACCAACACTAACTTTTTTAATTCTCTGACCTACTGGAGTCTGAACTTTCGGTGCTTAAGTGAAGCATCACATAGTGTACTGTGACAATCCAAAGAGCAGTCAACAGCAAGGGATTGGTGCATCCAATGGGTAACAAAAATTGAGAGAGGATGGCAAGTACAACCAGTTAACTGTGTCGTGGAATACTGGCAAAAAGAGCAAGGATAAGGTGAGAGATGATGTGAGCTTTATATCTTACTCAAGTGTGGAGATGCACAGCCAGGCCAGGCTAGAGCCGCACAAAGTGAAAAAACAAAAACAAAAATTACCTTCAAGTCAACCAAACTTATTACAAAAAGTGTCTATGTGCTACTATAAGCAGCAGATTCTCTTAGCCTGTTAAAGCAAATGATGCATTTCAATATATATCTAGCTCATCTGAAAAAAGGATTTTGAAAATGCTGTGACATACAAAAAAAAAAAAGGAAATAATGAAAAACTGGCTCTCATGTAAGGTACATAAAAATGTTTGGAATACATATTAGAAGTAATGGGTAGGATAAATAACTACAGGTGGGTTTCATGTTAAAATGATATAATACTTCGTCCAATGAAGTAAATACTTTGTTTATTAACTTGCTGGATACATTAACAATTTGATAAGGAAGGAAGGGAACAATTTCAGGTCAATGGACTAGGCAAGGGATCATTATTAATTTCAGATGCAGTGGGGGACACACAACTCATACAATGCATATGAGGCCTTGACTAGTCAAGACAAACTCAACATCTAAACTTGGTAAACAATGCCTTAAACATTATTTATGCGAGAAAAAAAATAAGTGACATTGAATGCATTTCCTTCTGTGTCACCCTGTTGCAATGGAAAATGGCCAATGGCAAATGAAATTATCATTATCATTTTACATATAAGGTATTGTTTTAGTTAAGATACTGGTGAGTTAAGCCTACTATCTGCAAGACCTCACATGATGCTGTTACTCAGAATTTCAGGATAATTTATTAATATCCACACACAACTTCTGAACTGTATTACTGCCAACATGTCTACTTCTATTGCAAATTAATATCTGCTAAGCATCTGGGAATACAAAATTAATGAAGGCTGCAATTATGCTTTCCTAAGCCATCTACTTCACTTAAAGTTACTTCAAGTGTTCCATTTCTCATAAGCAAAAGTTACCAACATTTTTATGCTATTCTGGTTAGTTTTTCTAGCAGTAATATCTTTTCTTTTAGACTGTCACCCTTATACATTATAGCTTTCAGAACTGAAAGCTGTAATCCTTGACAAACTGTTTCCCATTTTCATTTTAAATTGTGAAAAAAAAGTGATGAAGAAAAAATGAGAAAGGTGCTGAAAAATTATCATCAGTATTAAAAACATGATACAAAAATTAAAATAAATCTTCAAAAAATCATTTATTTATACAATGTTACTTTTTTTCTGTTTTTAAAAAGTTAACATAAAAATTTCATCCTTAACTATATTGTCATCTCCAAACTAATTACGTTCCTCTCCATTATTTACTTCAGTTTTGCTCTCCCCACAATTAAAAATAGCACATTAATTTTCTAACCAAAATTCTGCTGCCAGATATCCATGTTGCTGTGACCTCATTCTCTACCTGGAGTTTACCTGGAGAGAGTTCCAGGGGTCAATGCCCCCGCAGCCCGGTCTGTGACCAGGCCTCTAGTCAGGACTTTCATCACATATCCATATCCAAATATTGGCATCTCACCAATTTATTGTCATGAAAATATATTTATAAATATTTTCTCAGAATGTTTTTCTGATAGAGATCTGGATTCAATATAGTACAGTATACAGTAATCTCATGCTGCACGCGGGTTTGCCAGATGCAAAGTCACCTTAACGTGACGCTTCATTTTGACCAATAATTCCCTGTTTGCAATATAAATTTCCTGTTACAAATCAGTGCAGTTTGAAAAATATAATAAAGATTTCTATTATTTAGAATTTAATGTTGATGACCTGAGCGAGATTACTAAAGCTGCCATCTACCTGGACTACATCTATCACAGTATGTAGTAAACGAGCAAAATCTAGCATCAGCGAGGTTAAAGCTCAGTTCCCCAAGGCACTGTACTGGCACCTTTGCTGTTTGAATCCTCATAGCAGACACAGATAAAAACACCCATCACAGTTTTGCATCATCATTTGCAGATGACACTAAAACAAGAATGAAAGTCACCGAAAAACTGCTGGAAAATATAAGCAGTATTTTCCAGTGGGCAGTGGTGAACATGATGTTCAATGGTGATAAGTTCCAGCTGCTTAGGTTTGGAAAAAATGAAGGATTCAATAGGGACAATGTAAACAAAACTCAGGAAAGGAACACATGAAAGACCTGGGAATAATTATGCCAGCTGACCTTTCTTTCAAAGAACACAATAAAACCAAGGTTGTGATAGCCAGGAAGATGACAGGGTGGATAATGAGAACTTTCAAAACAAGGGAAAGTGCCAATGGTGACATTTCAAATCGCTTGTTCTCCCTCATTTGTGATGACAGCCCCATTTAGGGCAGGAGAAATATCGGAGCTGGAACAGATAGAGATCATTTATGTCCCGCATTTAAATTACTGGGAATGCCTAAAAGTCCTAATATATACTCACTGGAGAGGAGGAAAGAGAGATACATGATAGTATATATCGTATTTTGCAGCTTAACTCTTTGAGGGTCGGTCACGTACAAGTACGTCATTGTAGCCAGAGTCGGTCACGTACTTGTACACCTAAATTCTAGTGCCTTCAAACCTAGTGGAAGAAAGCTGGCAGGCCTACATATGAAAGAATGGGTCTGTGTGGTCAGTATGCGCAGCATAAAAAAAATCCTGAAGCATGCTGTGCATAATGAGAAAAAAAAAACTTCGACTGTGTTTTTGGTTTAAAACAGCTACTTTCTAGTGTATTTTCGTATGGTATTTATGGCTGTATTCTTGTATCCTTGGTCTCATTTGATAGAATGGAAGATATATTACAGAATTAGAGCTGATTTTGATTGGTTTCATGATGCCAAGTACCTTGAAATTGAGCTCAAAGTAGCAGAAATGATTGATTTTTGCCGATGTTCAAGAGTAAACAAATCAAGCCATGCGTCCAATACACGTCAACTGGCGAGTCTAATATTCTTTCACAAGTGCACTGATAATATTTATACCTTTTTACAATGATGTAGTAGTAGTATACATGACAGAAAACCTTCTATTTTCTGTGAAATTCAAAATGGAAAGCAAAAGTAATATAAGAGGGGCCTAGAGACATGACTAATGAGCAGATAAAATGTTATTTTAGTGCCAGGAATGTCGGTCTTGTTTATTCTGGACCGTATTTTGAAATTGGCATCTTTTGAAATTTGTGTAAAATTGCCCAAATTGCCAATTTCTGACCACTTTATTAGGTAGTTGAAATCGGTAAATGGGCGGATTTTTGTACTCAATCAATAGAACAAATGGAGTTCTAGGGAAATAGCAATGATTTTAGTCAACTGCAATATTGGAATTGGCTGAAAATAGGGCTGAAAATGGGCGAAATCACTCACTTTGAGACCGCTAACTTCGTGAAAGCATAATTCCGTAAGTTTTCCATCAAATTTCATACTTTTGGTGTCATTATGATCGGAAAAAGATTCTCCATCATTTCATAAGAGATTTTTTTTTTTTTCCCAAAAAACTTTCGACCCTGAGAACAAGTTTGGGAGAGGGCCTCTTGACCCTCAAAGAGTTAAAAGAAGTAGCTTATAAGACTTGTTTTAGTTTCAGTGTCTAGGTATCAGACATAACTGGGAGAACTACAGCCCACCCCACATCCCAACCTTATAGCTCCCATCACTAACCTTCAGTTTATAGGACGTAGGGTGGTTTTTGGAGACATTTTATGGAAAAAAATGCGTCTAACAAGCCACGAGATACGGTACCTCAAAAGTACTTGAGGGCCTTGTCCCAAATCTGCACATTGCAACATACTGGAGTGAGAAATATGGGAAGAAATGAAAAATAAACCAAGTGAAAAGCAGAGGTACCATGAGCACAATAAAGAAGGGGCACTGTTGGCACAATAAGGGAACACTGAATGAACATTCATAATCAAAGACTATTTAACATCTCATCTGGAGATATCAGAAACACTGCTGGAACAAGTATAGAAGTCTTCAAGAGGAAACTGGACAAGTACTATACTTCACCAAGTGCCAAATCAACCAGGCTGTGATGGGTATATGGGTCAGTGGACCACCCACAGCAATAGCCTGGTTGAGAAGTAAAGCACCAGACGAGCCTGGACCATGGCCAGGCTCTGGGAGTCGAAAAGCTCTCCGAGTACATCAAATGTATATCAAAGGTAAGGTATTTGGGGCACATGTACATACATATGTATATCTGTATCAAGCAACAAACCATTGTGGGTCGTTCAGCACAAATTGTAGTGTAAACTGAATTCTACACTAACTTGTTATTAAAATGTTTCAGTGTTTGAGAAACTCATTAGCAGTAAATCTGAAAAACTCGGCTAATTGTAGTTTCCAGTTACTCTTAATTCATTCAGTCCATAAAAATTCCAGAACTATTATTTAAAAAATACAATGCTTCTGAATATTTTAACGAGACAAAGGTTTGTCAGGGTGGAAATTAGGCACCAAAATTTTGTGTAAATTATCACACCTAGTGAAACTATCATGTCTAACCGTGACTTCAGGTTCCTTGCTCTCACTTCAAACTTTAAAAAAAAATTCCCTTAAAAAATCTGATAAATGACATGTACTGTAAACATTTAAAGAATAAACATGGTACTGTACCTTACTGTACCTTGTGTGTTTTCATAATACTGTATTTCAATTTTATGCAATGCTATGAAACATCTGTTAAGAGTAACCAGTGAATATTGAACAATATTCATATAACTGTTCTACTATCCCCTTATTCATTGTGGTTTTTGTTGTTAATGGCTACCAACACATCATACAAGAGGGAGTGCTAAAAATCATCGTTAGGTACACAAAACAATTAGAAATTATTAAACTCACCTCAAAGACCGTGATCGTGGTCGATTCATTGGAGAACGGCGGCCATCTTCGTCAATGGAGGGGTTACTCTCCCCAGAGGAAAAATGGCGCATGTGAGCATGCCGAACTTCATCTACAGCTGGAGAACCTACGTTGGATGGAGTGCCAACACCTACTGATCCATTACCACCACTTACACCCACTTGTCCCCCTATCTGGTGGAGTCTTTCTTGGCTGGAGCATTGTGACTGTTGAAGATAATACAGTACTTCATCACTTCAGTCATTAAATGAAAAAAAAGCAAAGAGAAAGCTTTTTTCCTCCTTTACATTTCAATCAACACCCAGTGGAAGATATCATTTCATGTTTAATAGATTCAAACTTGGTAATATTTACACTATGCACAGATTTATCAATACTGGTAATGATGCTTATTAATGAAATATTATGCCATTTTATTCTCTCTGCCCTTCAGAATCAACAATGTATACAGGCAGCCCTGTTTTACTGCATTTTGCTAATGCAGCAAATTTCAATTATACTCATTCTTCATTTATTCAGGCTTCCTATAATAAATATATTCACCACTCACTATACGCTAAGGATGAAAATATTTTAAGAGTAATGTGTGTATTGTAAATTAGTCCTCCATTCCTCTATATCCACAGGTGATATGTTTAAGACCTATCTCGGATGCCCGAAACTGCAGATAGTAGCAAACCCTAAACAAAGTCTTTTTTGTTTATATACATACCTAAAATTTAACTGATAAAGTACGCACAATAAAACTACTGTACTTTTGTGCTTAGGGCCCATTATTAAGCAAAATTAACAGTTATTTTCATAACACTGCAATAATGTGGCAATGAATGTGGACAGCAAGAACATGAGGCTAACTGGATGCAAGTAAAGCGGGCCAGTGCGGGTACAGACGACAAAGAGACGAGTCATGTACCGAGTGCGACAAAGCGGGAAGATTTCACCATGTTACTCAGAATAGCAAGTACAGTGGACCCTCGAGTTTCGGCAGCCTCGACTTTCGTGAAATTCGACCTTTGGCGAGTTTTTTTTTTGAAAAATTTGGCCTCGAGTTTCGTGAAAAAACTTGTGTTTCAGCGACCGTCCGGTACCCATCCACCCGTCACCGCGCACACAAAGCCAGTCTCCCACGCCATTCATGCTCAGTGTGCCATTGTTTACCAACACGTGACCATCACCCTGTGGGTTCATACGTAATAATCCATTGTTTTTTGTGATTACAATTGCTAAATAAGTCACCATGAGCCCAAGGAAAGCTAGTGCAAGCCCTTTGGTAAAGAAAGTGAGGAACACGATCGAAATCAAAAAGGAAATCATTGAAAAATATTAGAGTGGAGTGCGTGTTACAGAGCTTGCCAGGATGTATGGCAAGCCCCATTCAACCATCACTTCGATCATGGCGAAAGGAAAGGAAATAAAGTGTGCTGTTGTTGCGAAAGGGGTGGATATGCTGACAAAAAGGAGATCACAAATCCTCGAAGAAGTGGAGAGGTTATTGTTGGTGTGGATTACCGAAAAACAGTTAGCAGGAGATAGTGTTACGCAGTCGATAATATGTGAAAAGGCAAGGCAGTTGCATGATGATCTCGTAAAGAACATGCCTGCAACAAGTGGTGATGCTTGTGATTTTAAGGCCAGCAAAGGTTGATTTGAGAGATTTAAGAAGCGTAGTGGCATTCACAGTGTGATAAGGCATGGTGAGGCTGCCAGTTCTGACAAAAAAGCAGCTGAGAAGTTTGTACAAGAGTTTAAGGAGTGTGTAGACACTGGAGAATTCAAACCCCAGCAAGTGTTTAATTGTGACGAAACAGGCCTCTTCTGGAAGAAAATGCCAAAGAGGACCTACATCACACAGGAGGAAGCGGCACTCCCAGGACACAAGCCTACGAAAGACAGGCTTACTCTCATGTTTAGTAGTAATGCTAGTGGGGATTTTAAAGTGAAGCCTTTACTGGTGTATCACTCTGAAAATCCCAGAGTGTTCAAGAAATAGTGTCGCCAAGAGTAACTTGTGTGTGATGTGGAAGGCTAACAGTAAGGCATGGGTCACAAGGGGAATTTTCCTAGACTGGTTTAATGAAGTGTTTGGCCCCAGTGTGAAGAAATACCTCCTGGAAAATAAATTGCCACTCAAGTGCCTCCTGGTAATGGACAATGCTCCTGTTCATCCTCCAGACTTGGAAGACCAAATAGTGGAGGAGTTTATTTTCATCACGGAGAAGTTCTTGCCTCCTAATACCTCTCCTCTCCTCCAGCCCATGGACCAGCAGGTCATTTCAAACTTCAAAAAACTCGACACCAAAGCAGTTTCAGAAGTGCTTTGAAGTGACCTCAGACACTGAATTGACCCTAAGAGAATTCTGGAAAGGTCACTTTAATATCCTCCATTGCATAAACCTTATAGGTAAGTCTTGGGAGGGAGTGACTTCCAGGACTTTGAACTCTGCTTGGAGAAATTTGTGGCCAGATTGTGTACGAGAGAGGGATTTTGAAGGGTTTGTGGCTGACCCTAAGGAACCTATGCCAGTTGTGGAAACTATTGTGGCATTGGAGATGTCCCTGGGGTTAGAGGTGAGTGGTGAGGATGTGAAAGAGTTGGTGGAGGACCACAGGGAAGAGCTAACCACTGAAGAGCTGCAAGAGCTTCATCTGCAACAGCAAGAGATCACAGCTCAGGAAACTGCTGCAGAGGAGGAGGAAGAGAGATGGAGGAAGGTGCCTTCTTCAAAGATTAATTAAGGACATTTGTGGAAAGTGGACTGAAGTGCAAACATTTATGGATGAACTTCACCCTAACAAAGCTGTTGCAGGCCGTATTGGCAACATGTACAATGACAATGTTGTGTCCCACTTCAGGGAAATCTTAAAGAAACGCCAGAAACAGATCTCTCTGGACAGATATTTTGTGCAACAGGGGTCCAGTGACTCTCAAGCTGGTCCCAGTGGCATTAAAAGAAGAAGGGAAGTAACCCCAGATATGGACTTCACACCTGAAGTCCTAATGGAAGGAGATTCTCCTTCCAAAAAATAGTGTACACCTTCCTCCTATCCCCTCCTCCCGTCTTCCATCCACGCAGAAGTCTTCAGTAAAGGTAAGTGTAATGTTATTATTATTTATTTTAAATGCATGTACTTGATTTTTTATTTTAATATTTTTGGGTGTCTGAAACGGATTAATTCCATTCCCATTATTTCTTATGGGGAAAACGATTTCGAGTTTCGTGAATTTCGACCTTCGGCGGGCTCTCTGGAACGGATTAATCACGAAACTTGGGGGTCCAGTGTAGTTTAAAACTTATGAATCGATTATTTCTGGAATTTTCCATTTAATATTTTTGGGCTACGTACACCGCAGATAACTGAAACTGTGGAAATCGAATCCATGGACACGAGAATTCTCCTGGATATATGATAGTGTAAACATGCTATCAGGCTTTTACATAAATTTGAAAGTGAACCCTCCCCTTGGCGTGCGTGCTACATTTCACTTCACAGTAGTTGCGGAACTTAACCTGCTATATAAGCGGGGCCCTACCTGTGTCTAAAACACTTTGCCAATATTTATTATGAAATGGCAATCTAATATTTATACTATATACTAAGTTAATTCTAGTGAACTACCAGAAAATTTACCTGATATTACTACTACCAACATTTTACCAATTACAGTACTGTATACGAGTTTTCACTTAGAGGATCAAGTCCTATAACGGATTTTGTGAGCCCTACTCTTAATCCTTTCACTGTCTTGTATACAGATCTACGTTCTTGATGCCAGGGCCACTTGGTCAGTGATTCTCAACCAGGGGTAAATTTACCCCTTGGGGGTAAAAAATTGCATGGCAAGGAATAAATATTTGATGTACCTGATAACTGAATAATAATTCAATTAAAATTTACTGACCTTCTTGTTTTTCTGTTCCTTTATGATGGCGATATTTTTTTGTATGGAAGTAAGGGGGTAAATGGAGAAACACATCAAGCCGATGGGATTAACGAGGGAGGTAAAGTTAAGAATCCCTGACTTGCGTAGAGCTATGTTACTGATGCCAGGGTCACCTAGGTAGATCTATGTTACTGATGCCAGGATCATCTAGGTAGAACTAGGTTATTGATACCAAGGGTCACTTAGGTAGATCTACATATGTTACTGATACCAAGGGTCACTTAGGTAGATCTACATATGTTACTGATACCAAGGGTCACTTAGGTAGATCTACATTTTGAGCTCAGCTCCCTATGAAAAGCTGTGAGTAATAAATTTTGGCCTAGACATGAGAGTCTATGTAGTGAATGTGCACAGTATGCAAAAATTGCTGCCCCATGCACTGCATGATGACAAAAGCCAACCTCTGATCTTGTGTTTGGTTTAAAACAGTGAATTTGAGATGTTTTATAGGATGGTTTTCATGGTTTTATTGGCGTTTCTTGGTATCATTTGATAGAACAGAAGGCAAGCTACCGAAACACTGATGATTTTGGTTGGTTTCAGAACTGGAAGTAGATTGAAATCAGGCTCAAATTAGTGGAAATAATCAATTTTTTATGATTTCCTTGAAGACATAAGAGTTCCTTCCTGCACCCCAAGTCTGTTTGATGGGTTTTTACATGTCTTGATCAATTATTGGGATGCTGTAAACCATGACCAATCCTGGTTATATTTTATGATCCAAGAAACGAGGTAAATCACAATTTTTTTGTGTGATAATGAATACAAAATGGAGAGGAAGTAGCTGAAATGTCCAATGTTTATTTAGGACTCTCAAATTGTGCACTTATAAAGTAATTCTAATAGTTAAATGGGGAATTTATTGTGCTCAGTCAATTAGCCAAGAATTTGGTTGAAGTGACAATGGAATTGGCTTAAAACAGGATTCAAATGGGGAAAAATTGCCAAAGCATAAATTGTGCCCAGACCACTAACTTCGCACCTGTGCAGTTTCTTAAGTATTCATCAAATAACATATTTTTGGCATCACCTTAAGATACTCTACCATTTCAGAGGAAAAAATTATTCTTTTTTATTTTAAATGCTAACATTGTCGGCACTTTTAATAATTTCCGGCCTTCTGACAGTGATGGGGTTAAAGCATATCTTGAGGCCAGATTACAATGCCAACTGCTACATAGCCATCATAACCTGACTGACCTGACACATGTTGTTGGTAGATATCCAGTTTCTGCTGGATCACCCCTATTAACACATTAGGATCCAAACAGTGCTATACACAACCATCAGCATCAAAGCAGACATTACCAGTCACATGCTTCTCACTTTACGATGGTTCGACTTACAACTTTTCAACTTTATGATGGTGCAAAACTTTTTTTGTACTGTACAGTATTGTACAGTACTAGTACAGTACTAGTACAGTACTAGTACAGTACTAGTACAGTACTCGTACAGTACTAGTACAGTACTGTACAGTACTCGTACAGTACTAGTACAGTACTAGTACAGTACTAGTACAGTACTGTACAGTACTCGTACAGTACTGTACAGTACTCGTACAGTACTAGTACAGTACTAGTACAGTACTAGTACAGTATTGTACAGTACTAGTACAGTACTAGTACAGTACTAGTACAGTACTGTACTAGTATTGTACAGTACTAGTACAGTACTAGTACAGTACTAGTACAGTACTAGTACAGTACTAGTACAGTACTAGTACAGTACTAGTACAGTACTGTACAGTACAGTATTGTACAGTACTAGTACAGTACTGTACAGTATTGTACAGTACTAGTACAGTACTGTACAGTACTGTACAGTATTGTACAGTACTAGTACAGTACTGTACAGTATTATACAGTACTGATACTGTTATTTAGAGTAATTATTTATTTATTTACTTATACAGTGATAGTAATATATTTATTTATTTATCATCTTATATTCAACTTAAGATATTTTCAACTAACGATAGGTTCACCAGAATGTTAGTCAAGGAACACCCATAACCACAGCTTTTACAATAATAATATTGGACAACACCACAACTTGCTCGGATTAACTGGCATTCGATAACTCACAGAGACGTTAGAGGAGCCAGGTGTGGTGCCATAACCAGAGGAGGGCAAGGATGCCACAGACCAGCGGCGCCCGTCACGACTCTTCACTGGGGCGAAAGCGAAGTGTTGGAGTGGGGACATGTTCCGCGGGGATTCCATAGGACTACCTGTTGCATCAGCAATTTGCACTTAGTGACATTGTATCATATTATATAATTAAAAAAATAATTTACAATAATCCTAAATGAGTGAAAAAAAAGGTGTAATCAATCCACACAGATAAAATAAAACAAGACAATTACAGGTCCTTACTAATAAAATATAGAAATATAAGCCTGGAACAATACAAAGTGAAGTGAAACCACTTAATCAGGTCTGATGGTGATGGCAGTGGAAGTAATGGTGATGGTAGTGAAAATAATGGGGAGGTGGTGGAAGTAATGAGGAGATGGTAGAAGTAATGGGGAGTGGCAGAAGCAATGGGGAAGTGGCAGAAGCAATGGGGAGGTGGCAGAAGTAAGGGGGAAATAGTGGAAGTAATGAGGAAGAGTGGAACAAATATAAAGGTGGTGGCAGTGTTGGGAACATGAGGTAGACATGAGGTGAACATGAGGTAGACAAGAGGTGAACATGAGGCAGACACTTACTCTGACTGAGAGGAGAGTGGCATCGTGGCAGTGTTGGAGAGGTAGTGGCTATGAAGCTCTTCCTCTGACCTGGTACTCGAGTACCACGACGCACCAAACTCAGCTCTTTCTGCAAGACAACAAAAATAAGAAATCACTTTACCTATAAGTAGTAGTATTAATAGTAGTCAGCTTATTATGGTAGTACTAGTAGTGGTCAGCTTGTTTATGGTAGTACTAGCAGTTGTCAGCTTGTTTATGGTAGTACTAGCAGTGGTCAGCTTGTTTATGGTAGTACTAGTAGTGGTCAGCTTGTTTATGGTAGTACTAGTAGTAGTCAGCATGGTAAGACACATAGGCAACAGTTAGGCATCTTTACATCGTCTTCACATCTCTACTGCTTCTGTCTACTTTCTGTACTCGACTAATGGAGTCTGCTGTGTAGGCAAAACGTTTCGGAATAAAGTTGCCTAACTGTTGCCCATGTGTCTTACCTACCAACCTGTCAGTATTGTATACCATTTTGATAGTAATCAGCTTGTTCATTCTGCCTTAAATATTAAAATTAATAGTACTGTACTACCCTGTCACATTTTAATTATGGACAAAAAATGTTACTGACGAAATTAAATAGCATTTTGACTTAAAAAAAAAATTCTATGAATCTTCTTTAACAAGTTAAGTTTCCAATAAGAAATACTAAGATATGATACTTCAAATAATCACTAGATAGCAGGGTATCATTACCTGGGTGATGCCAGATACCTAGGTATTACAAAATCAATAGTTCCTAACCCTCTTAAGTGAGAGTATACCTTCACTGTCTTATTTCTTTTCATATCCCATCATAAATGACTTAATTAAAACTTTAATTTCTTTCATACAACCTCTTATTTTTACAGCATAAACAAATACAAAGGTGAAATAGATCACTAACACAGTCATGAATAAGAACTTGTATACTTTCAATTATAAACAGAAAATAGCACATTTGTCTTCGTGGCTCTTTTGTTGTTGACATTCATTTGTGAAAATGATTTTTTTTATAAATAGCCACACACATGTCATCACTTGCAGCAAAACAGTTTCCAGCCTTTGCTTTTGTGTGCACAAGTGTTGGAAAAGGTGACTCACACAGTAGGTAATGGACAAACAGCATGAGAACCTCAAAAGTTTATACTGCTGAGACAACATTTGAAGATGTGTGAACCCTAAATTTTCTACTATCATTGACTGATTCAAATCCCACTTGGATTCCTTCATTAGCCTTCAGTTCCACAAGAACATCTTCCATTATATCACTATCATCCATTGAATACAGATATAAAATAGATGAAGAATTGATACACTTGTGCAACACATGGGAATCTTTATTGAACTGATGAAGTCACTGTGTGGCAAAACATTTCTTCAATAAAGATTCCCATGTGTTGCACAAGTGTCTCAATTCTTCAACTTGTCGGTTTTCAAAACCATTCACCACAGATATAAAATAAATGGGTTCCATCTCCAACCCAGAGCCATAGTAACCTCCCTCTAGTAAAAGTAACATCGGAAAGACTGAATCAGTTCCTGCAAATGATGTTTAAACTCAGTCACGATAGACAGCGCTTCTTCCACACCAGTAGCTTTGTCGAGTGAAGGCAAATAAGTAAAATTTCTGTTCCAAATGTGGTTTACGCAAATTGTAAGTTTTTGTGTGAACGCTAACAAGTTTTCCCTAGCGGTGTTTTACTCCTCTTCCTTGCATAAAGGTGTTCAGCTAATATAGTTCATTCTCATACCTTCAGCTTTGCTTTCTTTGTATTCCCAGGAGGTACAGGTACCCCTGGTTAAGAACCACTAATCTAGACCAAGCAACCTCTATGTGGGCATGGTATAAAGCGAGGCCATGCCGGTCTTGCCCATCACTCCATTTTCCTGACGAGTTTTTAAGCTCTGAGACAATTTCTCGGCAGTGATGCTGGGGCCATTGAGAGAGAAAATTTTCATTTTTTTTTTTTTGTGTACATCACTACACACCAGTGATGAGAATGCCTGCTGCTACTTATGAGTGGTGGTGGTGATATACACTACTTATAACTGGTTTATATCATTCTACCCTTGCATCTTGGCCCGAGACCAGGCATTTCTGTTGACTGCCTAGTCAATCAGGGTATTTGTGCTAGTGGCCCGCAGGCCTAAATAGTCTTTACAACCTGGCTGATCAAGCACTTGCAGGAGATAGTTGTCCAACTTAATCTGAAAAACTTCTACCTGAGTTTCAGCAATATTTCTGACAGTACTGGCAGCAAGTTGCAGTCTTTTGGACAATGGATGTTACCATGGGACTTTCTGGTAAGGTTTTCGATTGATATTTTATTTACAGTAAAAACTTGGTCTTGTTGTGTGTTTCACTTAATGTTGCTGCCTGTTCATCCTACTACCATTACTACATGTTGCATGTGACAGATCAGCCAAGTTGTAATGGCTGTACAGCACTGGCCTATGGGTCACTAGCAAAAACAGTCTGGAAAAATCAGGCAGTCAATCAAGTTTGACCTCAGTTCCGGCTTGGAAGGTTAGAGAACTTGTAAAACAAGTTACAGGAATATCATCACATATTTATGACAGACCCACAAATTTAAGACCCTATATGTTGTGTATCTTTATACGTATATGCTTCTAAACTGTTGTGTTCTGAGCACCTCTGCAAAAACAGTGATTATGTGTGAGTGAGGTGAAAGTGTTGAATGATGAAAGTATTTTCTTTTTGGGGATTTCCTTTCTTTTTTGGGTCACCCTGCCTCGGTGGGAGACAGCCGACTTGTTTAAAAAAAAAAAAAAAAAGTTTCAATCTGTTCTGAATGATTATAAAGTGAACTTTTGTAGGAAACAGTACTGATTTATTGCAACAAAAGCCACCCAAGACCATCTTTCAACCAACTGAACTGTCGACTTACAAATACATACCTATTTAATACTAGGCAAACATGAGCAATGGGTATAAGGAAGTATCCTTATGCTTCACCTTATGAGCCATGGCATGCAACCAGATTGATTGCATGCCATGTTGCACCCACAAGAAAGGTAGCACCTCTCCAACCAGAGAAGGACAGCAGTTTTTTTTTTTAAGGAAGGCAGCTACCAAAACCGCTCTTGGATTGTACGGTGAGGCCACTGTGAGCCCAATGTGGAACACATTAGGTACTGTAGGCGTATTTACAATTGTAGGTGTAATGTCAGTGTCGTGGGTGTAGCACTGCCCCTTGATAGTGGAGGTGTGCATCATGCAAGGCAAAGTGATAGTGGCAGGTGGAAAGTGAGCATGTACATCCACTATCTCTTTTCCTGCTGTGCAAATTTCATTCAACCTCTGTTGTTTATCCTTTTTCCTTCCTTCCAAGTTCCCCCTGAAAACATTTTTTAACCTTCTATTCAGTTCTTTGCACATTTCCAGTGCCTCATTTATTAGTTTGCCTTCCATGTCTTACGTGGCACTGCAGGAACTTTGAATCTGTGTCTTCGTTACTTTGTCTTTACAAATTGTCCTTCCTTTTCTGTATGTTTTCCATGTTCTTCTGCTCTTACTTATTTTGCATGTCCTCTCCTATTTGCTACTATATATCTGTTTTCTCTGCATATTCTTCTCAGTCTTTAATGTTAACGTGAGTGATGCCTGTCGCACAACCACTGATTAATTTTGTTTGTTTTCTATTCTCGCAGCAAAGCTTTGATTAAGGTTTCTGACTATGTTGATTGAATAAAACATATGTTCAACACCTGTCTTTATTGTGAAGATGTTTCACTATGCAGTGGCTTTATTCATCCACCTGTCAGTGCTCTAACATTAATGTAATGACAGTCCTCCTTGACTGCCTGTTTAACAGACTGTAGCTCTTGTCCACTGCACTCTAGAAATCCTCAAATCACCGAAAAATTACCAATTATGTAGTGCAAACTGTCAGGCACCTTTCCATGCCTTGTCAGTTGCTGTCAGGTTACTAAATATTCCACTTCATTCTGGCCGTTTGAAAGTTACTACTGAAGGTGTCCATTCCCACTCATGTTGCCTTATCATACAAATTAGTATTGTAATAAAGTTGGTAGAATTACCAACAATATGTAAAGTAAAAGGACACAAGTGTAACTAATGTGACATTTTATTGTGGCAACGTTTAGCTCTCCAGGAGCTTTATCAAGCTTGATAAAGCTCCTGGAGAGCGAAACGTTGCCACAATAAAATGTCCCATTAGTTGCACTTGTGTCCTTTTACTTTATAAATTAGTATTATGTCTGGTACACTATACAACACTGACCTCATCAACCTTCAACAAGAATGTTTTATCTTGATATTCATGAGCCCCTCACCAGCATCAAAGAACATTTATCCTCCTTCCTCGAGAATAAGATAATAAAGATATGTTCCCCCATACATCTGTTGTCACCAGTTAATCAAGCTGTAAGTAGGTTCGAGAGTAAGCAGACTGTTGTGGGTTCCATCTTAATATGGGAGGGGCAGTTGTTGGTATGCTGTAGCTAAGTCAAGCTTTTAAATAAGTTGTAATAACACCTCTCAGACTGTAAAGAAAGAAACTGTGTGATTAATGAGTTTATTAACTAGGAGGCCAAGTCTGGGACCAGGTCTGGGGCCAGGTCTGGGGCCGGGAGGATGGAGTGATGATCCCAGCAATCAACTACAGGGAGACTCCTACCTGTCCCCGTATATTCTTCCACTCCCCCTTAACTTTAAAATGACCTTAAGACTGTTAAATGTTTTTTTTATTTTGTCTCCTCTTTTATTATCTTGATCCTGTCTCCAGCCTCCTCCTGTCTCTTGCTGATTCCCCATCATTTCTTCATCATTTCCATCTTCCATGCTAATCCAGGAAAGTTCAACCTCTTTCATCAGCATTCACATTAACGCTGTTCATCCTCTGGTGAGTTTTCCTTTTATTCTAAATTCTTTCTTTCATTCATTCATCATGCCCTCTAGCTCTCTCGTACTTTCATTCATTCATCATGCACTCTAGCTCTCTCGTACTTTCATTCATTCATCATGCACTCTGGCTCTCTCATATTTTCATTCCTCTAAGTCTGGCTTGCACCTTCTCTCCTTACAGCTTTCTTCAATTCCTGTTGCTCCCTTCCCGGTTCCTGCTCGCACTCTCATTCTCCTCCCTCACTTCACAAATTTCACTCTCCTCCTCCCTCACTTCACAACTCTCACTCTCCTCCTCCTTCACTTCACAACTCTCACTCTCCTCCTCCCTCACTTCACAACTCTCACTCTCCTCCTCCTTCACTTCACAACTCTCACTCTCCTCCTCCCTCACTTCACAACTCTCACTCTCCTCCTCCCTCACTTCACAACTCTCACTCTCCTCCTCCCTCACTTCACAACTCTCACTCTCCTCCTCCCTCACTTCACAACTCTCACTCTCCTCCTCCCTCACTTCACAACGCTGGTAACATTGGTAGCAAATATTAAGTCCTGACTACAGACTTACCCTTGCTGAGTCTTCCATCTCTCTTTATTTTCTCTTGTCCCTCTCTCTGTTTTTCTTCTCCCTACTCCTCTCGTGTCTTCAATTATCTGACAACACTTCAATCCTTGAGTTGATCCCTCACTGTATGTACACTTACCTGTGTGTGCTTGCAATTACAGCTCCTGACCCTGCATCTTAACTACTGAATGTGTGTGTTGTATGCATGTGCAAATAGTGCGTGTGCAAGTGGTGCATGTGCACAAGTGCATGTGCAAGTGGTGCATGTGCATGCGTGTATTTATTCAGCAGTGTTCAGACATGGTTCCTGGCCCTGCCTCTCAGTTTAATAACTGGTAAGCATTTTACATATTGATATCATCTTGGGTCTTAATCATACCTAGTCTGGAAACTATGTATGAAGTTTTTCTGGAATGTTGTGTGTGTATATGTGAAGTAGGTGAAGTTAGAGAAGACAAGGCTGCCCCAGTAGGTGAAGCTGAGGTGGTGTACCTTGAAGTGCATGAGGGAGGTGACTGGTAGCGGCAGGTGTAGCGCCGCACGCGACGCCGCCTGCCGCAGCGTGGAGTCCGACACAGAGCGAGACATGCCACGCCCACCCCCGCCCACGCCCACACCCAGGCCCACCGCTACCGACTCTGCGTCAGGGGCGCGAGGAAGACGCAGGGGAGGTAAGTGATCTTGTGCCTCCCTGTCACCTCCCCTGGCACTGAACCTGACCGCACCAAGGGCGAGGGTCCGTGCGGCAGTGTGGGCGTGTGGGCGGCCATGGGCGTGGCGGGGGTAGAGCTGGCGTGCTGCTGGTGGTGGTGGTGGTAGTGGTGCCAGGTGCCCCCCATGCAGTGGGCACGGATGGGCGGGGGTGCCAGCACTGGGGTGGGTGCCGGGGAGGGCCGGCCGCCCACCACCATCACCGGAAGGAGAGTCCAAGAGCCATTATGGAGGC